ATTTATTAAAGAATAATTCTTCGTTAAAAGAACTAAAAAAATACGCGGCAATATATGTCTATCTTTTAAATTACCCAAGAAAGTCGTTCTCGGACAAGCTAATCTAACAGCATAAGTTTATAAAGATGAAGAGGTTTGCAAAAACAAGTTTGGATGAAAATGACTACTCTACGCGGACAAAGTCGCTGAAGAGTATTAAGATATCGGTAATAGCAGCTCTATATAGATCCGCGTATCCGTATAAAATATGATAGTTAATTTAACCGGCGTGTGACAGCGGCCTGACCTCGATTAAACGCGTGTGATGGGACTTTATAAATGTGAATCATTAACTTTTGAAAATTCCCTCTTGTAAGTAAATTTTTAATATTCTTGATTTATTCTCATTTTTAAGTTCGAGCGATGTCGCGGGTTCGGATTCGAAACGGTTCAATTTTATTTATATTTAACATCAATATCGGATTGTCATGCGCGTTCTTTACGAAACCTCTCGTTTTGTAACGAATATTACGAATAAAAACTGATGGATTTATTACTCAAGTAAGAGACTGATTTTCCTCTTATAACAGCAGATAATACAAATTATTATTTATTTGTTGAAACTCCTTAACTGGATATATCCTTAAATCTGGTATTACTGATTTATTTGAGTAAGTAAATACTTTTTAACAAGCCAGAGTAGGTTTGTTGTTTTCAATTATTTAGTTTCTACAGCTAGACAGCAATTAACAACTTTTAAATAAAACACTAACGGATGTTCTTTTGCTCTTCTCCCCGTGACCACGGCTACTGCAAAGTATCTGAAACGTCGGGCCGTAGTTGCAATAATTTTCAAATAAGTTTAACTAATATATATCCAGTTTTAAACCGTTTAAGTGTTTGATTTAAATGTGTACTATCGCGAAAACTACCTTTGTAACTTTACTCATATATATACCTTTCACTTTTAGGTTAGGTAACAATACTGAACTTTCTCTTAAAATAGAGACAATGACGCGCGATGATATTAGGTCGAAGAGTGATTGATTAACGCTTATTATCGTTTTGTTTAAGTGGTGAAAGACAAATCAATTGTACTGTAGAGCTTTATATAAGGATATAGAAGTATAATGAATTAGATTAGATTCTGCCTTCAATTAGAATTTTATGCAATCTTAAATAGAACTGTTATTGTGTATTATTAGATAGGAATAACTTTAAATAATTTAGGAACAATTACTTTGAACTGTATATCTTTTGGGTATAGATGCATCGCAGTATGATGTTTTATAATTTAAAGCCTTCCTCAATAAATTCTCTAACCAACATAAAAATAACTTTTCAATTCGAATTAGAAGGTAGTTCCCGGGATGAGCGCTTTCAAACAGACCTACAGCTTTATAATATTAGTATAGATATAAAAATAACAATACAAACGAGAAAAGTAATTACATATAAATAACGGATAAATTTTAACTTACCTAATCTAATCACAAAACTGGCTGTTTACAACAGTAATATATAAATATTAAAAAGATAATTGTAAATATAGACACACTAAACTAAGTTGAAACAAAGACTATACATTGAATTATTTTAAATAAAGCTGGTGATATACACTGCGCATAGACAAGAAATAAAACAACGAAGCTTATCGATTGTCAATTAGTGGAAACGTCTCGGTGGTCAGTTACAAGACATTGATTTTAGAAGCTCTACGAGTGGCAGACATCTATACCGGCTGTTCCATAGCTATATATAAGTTAAGGCTAACGCAACTTAATTAAGTTATGCACCCAGTTCTACGGTATTTCAATGTGACATGACTTCGTAAACTTTGACATTTAAAATCAGGTCAGTTGTAAAATTAAAGTAATCTTTTTCTTTATCCGTAGTTATAACATACTATCTAATTATAACAAAATCCTTTAGTAAGTAACCCTTGATAAATGTAATGTGTTTACCTTACGTGTGCATTGTAAACTTTCGTTATCCACATACGCACTTACTCCCGTACATATCTTTCAACATACAACATAACAAATCGCTTGATACATACACTAACACATACAGCATGCAAATAGCCACTCAAATACACACAAATTGTAAGTGACTAAGTTAGATTAGATATTATTTATTTATTGTTTTGCTAACCTGGAAGAGAACCTGTAAAATACGTAGCGTAAATGCATTGTACAATAAAATGTTGTACGATATTAAAAGAGAGGTCCTGGGTTCGTATCCCGTGGAAACATTAAATCCCATAAATAAAACCAGTCAGTGAAACACAGAAACGAATTCGAACCACACTTCACACTTCAAAGGGGTTCACACACACTTTCTTTCGAGGGTTAGATTTGTAATATTGTTTTCAAAGGCATATATTTCGCTTATAAATTTTTAATTAGCTTATTGTTAAAAATTGTGAGATAAAATAGTGCTGTTTCAAATGCCATTTATGGATCTAAAAATAGAGGCATAAATGATGGTTTTTTAACGTTTTATGTAGTTGTAGTGCAGTCATCGATTTATTTAATGCAGTTTGGTATTTTTACTTCATTTATTGTTCGGTATCGGTTTATACTCTGTGATATTGTATTTGTTAGCAACAGGCAAACATATATCAGATGTCTTTGTACAAATTATCTAGTCAATATATGTTTACTATACAAATTTGAATTCAATTATTTGAATAAAAAACGACAGGTGAGTTTGTGTCCTGTAGTGCTTCCCAAACGACACTGTGACCGAATTATTATTGATCAGCGATGCGATACAGGACGGCCGATGACCTCAATATCCAACATCATTTGATACTTCTTTCGATTAAGAAAACCGTTTAAATCGCAAAATATTTTAATCGAATCTATTTCTTAACCAATATTTCACGTTTCGAACCGTTGATAGTATCTTATGCGTACCTACTATCTATTTGTGTATACTACGAACTGCTTTTGAATTTAGAAAATTCATTTCTACGTGAATCTGCATAAGTCTCGTTGAATTCTTTAATATGGGGAACTGAACAGAAAACGTAATCTTTTGTAGGTTATATAAAACCGCATTTAAAGAGTTTAATAAGCTTTTAATCCTCTAATTACTTATTAGTTAACACTGATTTGGTTAAACGAAGCGAAATTGTAAGAAGTAGTATTAACAAATACTTTATTGTATGTATTACACGTACAAACGGAGTTACCTTTTTAAAATTAAACTTGAAACGAATAAAAAAATTAATTCACCTATCACTATCAATGAAATTGCCAGATTAAAAAGCAACTGGCCGTAAAATTCAAAAGGACTCATAAAAAGAATATAGAATAAAAAAATTAATTCAAAAAAGGAATTCCCAGCTGCCATCGTTACGCGACTACGTTTCGTGGGAGTGAGAGAACAATGGGACATATGAATGCGTGCGAGAGGGACGGCAGTAGGGATTATAGAACGCTATAGGATTATTTTCTCGCATTAAACGTGTATTGGCGTTTACGTCTAATGGCGTACATTTTGTTTACTGATTTACTCGAATTTATAGGTTATGTTTTGAATACGTTCAAGCTTAACTTACTAAGCGTCTCCGGTCAATGTTAGGCTTACTAAAAAATAGTATCTCTTTAAATACCATTCATCTAAATCTCTTTCTGAGGTGATCTTAAATTTTCAACGAATGCGTTAATTATTATCGACTTTACAGTAGGTACCTTCGGTCTGTGCGTTTGAAACTTTCCTATGAGTAAGCTTCATGTAGAAACTTTTGTCGTAAAAGATATCCTTCTCCTTCTCGGAAAGTTTTATAATCTTTATTAATTAATTTGGCAAAGATATTAGCTAGGGTATATAGTAATAATTTCCACTGTTTGAAAAAAATCCGAAGCTAAAATTTAAGGATAACAACATTCCGTAAAAAGGTCTTGCACTGCTTAAACAATACAGGCCCGGACTGTAACGTTTAATGAGAATAAAAAAAAATGTAGTCGGTTCATGACACATTAATGTCATTTTTAATCTAAAGTAGATTTTTCAGCCTCTGAGTGTCGCCATAAAAGTCAATCAATAAAAAAATGGTAGGAAACTCAAACTTTACTAATTAAAACAACTAACAAGCGTACCACGTTCGGGGGCTGGCAACCCCGGGGAGCTGGGAGGTCTGAGGGTGGATAAGCGGCTTACGAGGGCCCTGTTTTGATTATTTCCAAGGATGTCTTCTTGCTTCGTAAATTATGCAACGCTCTTGTTTGTGTTGCTAGTTTAATGTAAATTTCTACTAATGGTAGTTTTTGTGGCGTGTCTTGACGTAAATCTGTACACACACTTTTTGTGAGCAAATACATTTTTTAAGGACGTCAAGCATATCCGATCACATTCTAGTGAGAAGATAGTTTTCTAGCACAATTCAGAGTCAAGCGTTTAAGGTTTAAATAAAACACTTCAACGGTTTAAAACGCGATATATTAGTTAAACTTATTGGAAAATATTTTTTTTAACTTCGGCCCGACGTTTCGCCGTTAAGGTTTTATAAAGAAACGCGTAGGTATGGTTTTCTTACATGAAAAGGCGCTATTAAAAATAAAATTCTTGGTGTCTATCCACGTGAATATCAAAGATTTAGTAAGCTACGTAGCGTAAGCACAATTATTTTAGCGAAATACAAGGAAGATCAGAAAATGTATTTCGCTCGTTGACATTCAAAATTATTTTCTCTTTTGGATTACGTTTTTTTTTGTTAAATTGGTCTCGAGTTCTTAACAGACTTTTATTTTTGTAAAAATGAAAATTACATTTTATCCCTTGTATTAAACCAAAAGCAAATTTCCACTCATTTAATATTATTAACAGGGAGTGAATATGTATTGTCTAACAGTAACTGATTCGGTTTTTGGGTCGCTTTTCTACTTATTTTGACCAAATTTTATTTTATTTGAAAAAAGCTTGTCTTGGCACCAATCGTGTGCCATGGAAACATAGATCGAGCGGGCCTAAGTTATATGTTTCATATTTTACTAGATCAGTGAATATCTTACCTTGAGGAAACCCCACAGCCTCCAGCCCGTGATGCGTCAGTCCAAATGGACCCAGCCCGCCCAAAGGCCCAGGTCCCATTCCCATATGATGCGCACTAGAGTGGTGCGCATAAGGATTCTGGGATAACGGAGAAGGCTGCTTCAAATAATGGAAGTAGTGATGTAGAGGCGTCGTTGAGTGATGTGCTTGAGGTGCCGCCGGCGTCGCTGTCGGTCCACTGGCGGACGAATTCGTTAACAACGCCATCTCGTAACCGCTTCCGAAACTAGTCACCGTGTTTCCCTTTTTCTCGTATGCATTTTTGGTAGTTTTGAGTCTAATTTTGAGATGAAATTTGGTTTTTAAAACTCATTTTTGATCGGTTCCTGAAATGAAAAGGACTAGATTAGATTCAGCAATCACAGTGACCATTATTATGCTATTTAAATAATTATACTTACAATATGATTTACGTCATTAAATAAGTATCGCATTGATTGGACTATACACAACATTACAACTAACTATACTTATGAAACTAAGTATAGTTAGTTGTTCATCAGGCATCAATGCGATGATTAATTTAAAAAAATCTAAATCTTCCAAAAAAATCGAACATTGTTTAATTTGGAATTGAGAGCTACATGTACTAATGTTTGTCTAGTGAAATTATTTTTAGGAAGAGATTTAATGATTTAAAACATTTTATTTAACAATATTACGTATTTGTCGCCCAATTAAAAGGAAAGTTTTAGACTTATGCTAAACACATTTGTCACAAGGTGCATACATAAATATATAATATATTTTCCTATTTAATTAACTTGTAGTCATGTTTAATGGATTGATTGAACTTAGGTATTTGGTTGACACTTGAAGGTCATTAATATGTTAGACCTACTACCTAGTAGGAAACTAACAAATTGCGTAAGGTGTTCTTAAAATGATGAATGCTTGTTTAATATATATCTAATTGTTATTTTTCTCATAAACAGAGAAAGGTTTATTTAAATTGAAAAGTTGGTATTGTTTTGTTGTTTTTTTATATGTAAATTCATACGTTTATCAACCGATCAACCGATCTACAATTTCTTTAATTTTCGGTTCTAACTTTTTTATATATCCTTAACAAAAGTATTAATATTTAAATTAATGTTACGTCTTATGCCTTTGGTATGCATTTCCGGATGCAAACTAGTGCAGTTCACTTATTGTAAAATTTGTAAGTCTTATTGAAGTTATATCTACTTACTATAGAAGTATCATATAATTTTAAAATCATATACTTCGGAAGTAAGCGTATAGTAATGAATTTCTAACACTCACTAATGTGATTTTTAATAATCGCCTTTAAGGTAGCGCCTCTAAGTATTTAATCTTCGCTAAGCTCGTAATTATAGCTGTCATTTATTATCTTAGTGTTGCCCAAACCAAAACAAGACGAGACTTACCATCTTGGTCTTGGTCTTGCGCCAATACACCTGGTTTGGTCTTGGTCTTGGTCTTGCTCCCAGTCTTGTCTTGGTCTTGGTCTTCAGAAAGTCTTGCAAGTCTTGCAATTACCTATTAGTCTATTACTATTTATTAAAGTTTACTTTAAATCCTAGAAAAACGTATTAGAATTGGAACATTGTGAGCTTGAATGAATATAGCCATAGTAAAGATCAAGCAGATTAATAAATAACTGAAGATTTGATAAGAAATTCGAAAAATCAACTGACCTATATGTCGTTTTCCATGGAAGTAATTGTTTCTTAATAAACATTTATGATTTATAACTTACATTTCTAAAACATGTAAAAAAACAAATTAATTACAATAACTTGACTGTATTTTAAAGAACAATACTTATCTGTCTAAAAAGAGATTGAACCCTCAACTTATAAGAAATTTAATAAAAGAGTTTTACGATTTAAAGAAAACACTTTAACGGTTTAAAACGCGATATATTAGTTAAATTTATTTGAAAATGATTTTTAACTTAGGCCCGACGTTTCGTGTCCACGGCTGCTGCAAAGCATCCGAAACGTCGGGCCGAAGTTAAAAATCATTTTCAAATAAGTTTAACTAATATATCGCGTTTTAAACCGTTAAAGTGTTTTATTTAAATGTGTATTACTCGCGTATACTATAGACAGTATTTAGTTTTACGATTTATCATTTATTTGAATAAACAATAAAATACAACACAAATCAACAGCTTTATCATTAGGTTATGATACTTTATATCAATTTTTTTGACCAAAATTAATACAAATAACCATCTCTACTCATCACTTAACCTATTTCTATGTTAACAATAATATAAAGCGTGTAAAAAAATTCGAAATTATTTTGCATGAGTATACCTACGCCCTATGGCGGCAATTAAATAGTGTCAAATGTTATGATTTCGGCGTGGCGGCAACGATTGTTTTAGATTTCAAAAGAAGCCCCCGCTTATCATAACCATGTACTTCCGAAAAACGGCAAATTTCTTTGAGAAGTAAGGACAAAACCTTTGATGCCGCATTATCAAAGTGCCGATGGTTAAAGCATAACTATGCATGCACTCAGTTTGATTTTAATAATTTTTTTATTCGCTATGTTTATGGTATTAGTCGTAATGCCATAGGTCAGTTTTTCATATTTTTTGATACAGTTTTTTGCGTCTCATAGAATTCCTAAACGTACCTACCTATACACCGAACTGTTACTTCTAACTACTCAGTGAAATAGCGCTAAGTCCTAGCTGCAAGACGCAAGAGTCTTGCAGGCTATGTCTTGTTCTTGCTCAAGTCTTGCACGGTCAGTCTTGGTCTTGGTCTTGCTAAAAATACGCGGTCTTGTTCTTGGTCTTGGTCTTGCAAAAACGCAAGAACAAGACCAAGACTGCAAGACCAAGACTGAATTTGGGCAACACTAATTATCTGTGATTTGCACGATGCGAGTATGCGAAGTGTGTATTTTGATTGCTATAAACAATTAAATCAACTTTTTAATAGATGGAAAAGTAAACGTTTAGGATGCTTTACAGAAGCCGTGATCATTGGAGATTCTTATAAACTACTTGCAATGCAACACAACGATCAATATTCTAGAGACAATAAATACAAAACAATCAAATATTCAAACAAACAAAACTATATTATTAAATTATGTAAGGCTTTCACGGCCATCGTTCAGCAAATCATTGTTTTTCGGGCTGTTCGGCCGACGTGAGCGAGAAAAGCTCCTCGATTGCTCGAAGAATTCTCTAACTAACTAGCTAACATCACCTGATGATGCCTACCACTCGTGATGGCGAAACATCGAGAACTTCTCGCTCACGTCGGCCCGAAAACCAATGATATAATTATACATTGTTATATTGACACATTAAGAGAGTATAGTTATTTGATATAGTTAAAAGAAACCTAAGTATATGATTACACATGATAAATAGAGAAATAATTGATATATCACCTATTCAATAAAAATAGCAAAACGTTTATTTCCGCTCAATGAATCACTTTATACCTTGATCGAACATGCCAAACGCAATTATATAATGCGCCAATCATATTTTTTGTAACGATTATAAACTATTTTACAATTACCCGATGAATAGGGTAATTTTCCGCGCGATTGCAACACTGACGCTCTACACGTGAAACGGAGCGCCTTTCTCGAATTCGTCGCGGCCGTTCGAAATTTGAATTGCGGAATTTTTTTCTGTAACTTTTTCGTTCGCGTAGGTACATGTTTACAGACATTTTGTCACGTTTGTTTTTTTTTGTCTGATACCTGAGTTACCTGCAAATCGAGGGGGCTATGATCGCCCTTGTTCCCTTTGTGATGGACTGGTATCGGGGTGATGACAGGGCGTTCGTTGGAAAATATTATTTTGTTATGATAAATGAAATAGGACTCTTGTGATTGTACAAAATATGTTCGTGATGATTTTTTATGGAATAAATACAAGTATTTAATATTATTACGAAATTAATTTCTTCGTGCATCTTGTTATTGAGTAAACCTGTTTTATAAGTGAATTAAAATTCTATTTAGATCAATAGTGGGTACCTATACATGTATGTAAAAATTTAATCGATCTGTCAACTAGTAAGTTTTATAAAGAGTGACTTTAGTATAGTATTTCGCCTAGCAAATAGATATCTTAATATGTAGTTTGTTAATAGAATTACTTAATACTCATAAAGCTATACCTACATACCTCTTGACAAGAAAAATGATGAGTCATTGTTATTTGCAAAGTAATTCAATAAAACATTTTTAGCTGTTTCAAACGCGAAACAAATGGGGTTAATTTAATAATGTATACTGTATTAACATTTAATATGTTAAATTTAAAGCGTGGACTGATATTTTTATATTTGTTAATACTAATACTGAATATGTATTAAAGTAAAGACTAACTACACACTGTAGGGTAACCAAATAGACAAAATACCCACGTTGACGTTAGAATAAGAAGAACAGAAAGGAAACAGCAATAATTGCCAACCTATCAGTGTACATACCTAAATAAAGTTACATACCAAAAGTTTTAGGTACGTATTGAAAGTGTTTTCAAATCAAATTTTCCATTGCACTACCCACTACCGGACATCAAAGACAATGCCATTTTTTTTCAACACTGTCACTTTCTTTAGGACTTCTCCGAAACGAGAACCACCTTTTAATCTGTCAACAAAAGATTATCCCAAAGCCACGGATAAGTGCTTCGTTAGCTTTCTCATTTGAATATAGTCTTAAAGATAAGGTAGTAAAGGTGATTTTTATTTGAAAGGACATTTGGAAAGGATTTACGCTTGGTGGAAAGTACTCACTTTGTAATTGTTAGTTTTTAATTTGGCGGCAGTTTTAGGTTTACGCGTCAGAAAATTTACAAAATACTGGCAACTTTTTTTACGTTTTCTAAGGTGGTCTATGGAATTGAAGATGTTCGGGTTCTAGGAATTTCGTGATAATGACTTTCTCCAGACTGTATTTACACTACCTGGAAACCTAAGACTGACTAACTAACTTAGACTTCGTTTAGTGACGAACTTCTGATTGCAAAACCGAGAACCAATTCTGCAACCAACATTTATCGTACCACCTTTATATGGGTAACACATATTATATTACACTTGATTTCAATTTTTATTTCATACTTAAGCCTTTAGTAAAGTACCTATTCATTTTTATTTGGCCGTGACCACGGCTGCTGCAAAGCATCCGAAACGTCGCGCCGAAGTTAAAAATGATCTTCCAATAGGTTAACTAATATATCGCGTTTTAAA